GCATTGTCAAAATGTATGTTGGTGGCACCAATGATTTCAGTGACTTTATATATGTCGGTCTTCCCTCGATGATATTGTCAATAGTCACATAAATTACTTTCACTATGAGATTCAAAGTTGTATAAACTGAGAACCCTTTTAATTGGTAACACTTGTCACAGAAGACAAATAAAGAGTTTACCATGATTAGCCAAAACATCAAAACCAATTTTGGATGTCAAATTAAGATTACACGTACATACTTTTCCTACTTCACAATGATGCCAAGTTGCTTTTCCTTTCCAACATTCCTTCGCATTTTTCTTTTTCTACCCTTAGAAAAAATAAAATATGTAAGAATTGAATTCTTCGACCCCGACTTATCCTGATGATGGAAGGTATGGAATAATTCCCATCAACTTGTCAATTCAAGTCATAGAAAGTTTGTAAAGCAGATGCCAAGACATGCTCTCAAGAAAAAGTTTGGGGCTCTCAAAAAGTACGGTTCTTTTTTTATGTATTGTCACTTGTCGTGTAGAACTGTAGATTCTCTTTATGTCTTAAATTATGGGTTTACTATTATAGATTATTAAAAAAATTCTAAAGGATGCCTGTCTTAAATCATGACAATACACATAGAATGAGTCAGTCATTGTTATAGGAAATCCTAAAAAATATGAACAGGACATTATCTGACTCCCACTACAATATTTAAAAGTAAACAAATTAAAATTTCTGTTTGCGGTGCAACAAGGTCGTTCTTAAGTTCACGAGTTGGTCATTCAAATGTTGGTGATTGAATGTTTTAAAAAGGTTTAACCTGCCATCACCGGACACCGATTGAATTTTTGATAAAATGATTAAAACTCTATCCAAACAAATGATATCAGAGCTAGGGTCATGAGTCTTGAGTTTCGAGTCACAGGAGCATCACGTTGATGGAGGGATTGTTAGGGTGCATCAAGGATATGCTCTTAAGCCCATGGATTGGGCCACTCAAATGATTGGTTTTTAGATGCGATGGATGAACCCGATGCTAGCAAGTTTCATCCGCACATTCTTTACACTATTGAATTCAATAATATTGCCTTGATTTTTTTAATATTTGAATTTTTTTTTTCACATTCTTTGCATGAACTAAAGCTACATGATCAACCCTGCATAAAATATTTAGCTTAATCCATAATATTGTGTACAATATCCCCTATTAAACTAATATAAAACACAGCTAGACTTAGCACCTGTCCCTGTTCTCAATAACCCGCCCCAAAATGCGTGTTTGTGATGGAGTGGAAGGGCAAAAGACGCAATATCACGTCAGAAACCCGATGATTCTATGAAGTTCGGGAGTTCTGAAAATTGAAGTTCCATTTTCCACCTTGAGTATGATACATAGCATTAGACACCATTTTACATAATAAACAAAATTTATCATTTTTTCTTTCTTAATACTCAACTAGCCATAACTAACTATATACGGTACAAAGAGAAGTTATTAGTGCAAGGCATGTACTATCATTTTTTAGCCTACATCAGACCATGCATTAACTGAAACTTTACCCCATTTTTTTTTTTTTTTTTTTGCAGAAGGCAACAATGGCTCTATTTTTGCAGTTTCTTCTCTGTTCCCAACCTTTTTTCAGGGTTCTTTTTGGTTAATTTTTTTCTCTAACTGAATGTTCCTCCGAATGTAGGGTTCCAAAAATCAGATGCAGACTCTGCAGCCACTGAAAAGGTGCTTAAGATTGGAGCAAGGCAAAGTCCACGACTTTTTAGATCGTGTGTTGGCCCTTCTTTATCCTTATGTTTATCAGCTGCCTGCATATAATACATAATGTGTTCGGTAAGTGAAC